GTACCTCATGATGTCTCACTATTAAAAAAATTTTTAATATAAAAAATTTTAAAAAGTATATGTTTGAGGGCTGGAGCAATAGCACAGTGGGTAGGGCATTTGCCTTGCACGCGGCCGACCCGAGTTCAATTCCCAACATCCCATATGGTCCCCCGAGCACTGCCAGGAGTAATTCCTGAGTGCAAAGCTAGAAGTAACCCCTGTGCATAGCCGGGGGTGACCCAAAAAGCAAAAAAAAAAAGTATATGTTTTTTTGGTTCTGTATAAAATTGTTAAGACTATCTGATATAAGAATTTGTGATTTGAAATAATGCCTGGCAAGCTACCCGTGACATATTCGATATGCCAAACACAGTAACAAGTCTCACAATGTTATTGGGCCAGCTCGAGCAAATCGATGAACAACAGGAGGACAGTGACAGTGACAGTGATTGAAATAATTGTAGTGGAATTTAAAAAAAGAGAGACAGAAAAGGTATGTTTGGATTGATTGGCAGTTTCCTAGACTGGAGCTCATTTCTTTCCCTTCTTGGAAGCAGCTTCCAGTCCCGTCTCAAAATATATTGTCTGTCTGTTAAAGAGACAGCTGATAACAGACTATAGGGGAAAAAAGAAAGAAAAAGGAGACTATTTAAAAACAGAAAGTGCTGCTATAAAGAGCCACTTCAACTTTAGTGGTTTCTAAGAATGCAGAATTGGAAAAAATGTGGTAAATAACTGTAGTCAGCCTATGTTGTTAATTAATCCGCACGATACATGAAAGTGTGAATACTATTGGTCACTATAAAGGTCACTTTATTTCATGTGAGTTTTGTCATAAAGTATCAAAATCTGGTCTTGACCTTAAGACGACTTTATCAATAAGTGTGATATCTTTGCCATTTCATGGTGATGTATGTGTTTGAGCCCTATAATATCTCTGTTTTAGTCCTACAAACCAATGTTCTAGGAATTAAATTCTTAAAGATAACTATTTCTGATTACTTGATAATGTAGAGTAAATTTCCCCATCAAATATAGTATATTCAGAGGCTTTAAAAGGAGGGTTAATAAGCACTGCCAAATAAAACTCTATTAACGGAACATTGTCTTGCGGTGAACCATGTGTTAAACCTGTCTGAGATAGAATCACATTCTAAAGGAAAGTCTGGGAATGGTGAAAATATTGATATGTGCTAGTTATAGTTTTTGAATTTAGGAAGCTTCTATGTTAAAGGTTCTAAATGCTTTATGAATAGAAATGGAAAGAATCAGAAAGGCTAAATATGTACGTATTCATGGTAAAGGAAACTTAACATTTAAAACATTTTGGCAGAAAATTTCTACTCCAAGAGAAAATTGGTCTCTAATGGAAGGGAAAAAGGGAAACAACTTCAAGCTGTTCGTTTTCTCTAAATTGTGTCTTTTCAAAGGTTGTTTTAGAGGAGCATATCTAAACTATGTATAAGACTATCTGAGCTTGATCAGGAGCCAGAGAGGCCATGCCTCCAATTATATAGCTGAGCCCGAGGTGGTTTGTGGGTGTGTCCCCCACATACCTAACTTTTGCCCGTTTACTTTCTTGGTAAACTTTGCCCCAAGCTTTTGGGGTCTGGCCAAACGCACAGCAGCAATTTTTGGATATCTGTAAGTCTGAAGGTGCCATGAGGCTGCTGATGCACTCGCCTCACAGGTACAGATTGACCTGCTGGCAGCACTATACCCCCAGTACTTTCATGCTTTCATATCTAATGGGGATGTGTTAGGGGCTCTCTCTCTCTCTGCCCTTAGAAAAGGCCCGTTACTCTCTCTCCCACTTTTATCCCCCTTCCTGCCTACAAAAACCTCCAGATAAAATCTGTTCTACTTCACTGCTCGGCTACTTCTGAAATTCTTTTCTGTAATGCGAGACAAGAACCCAAGTAACCCTGAGTCCCGAGCAGCAGAGGCAGATGGGGAGAAAGCAAATGTTTTTCTCCTTCCCAGTTCACATAAGCCACCCATAAGACACCACTCTTACCCCACAGCATGGCATCCTCGGATGTTCCACATCCAGATTCTCTTCCTCTGCCAACTCCTGTGATCCCACCCAGTCTGCCCACCCAGTATGCACTGCTCCAAGCCAGGCTGGTTGCTGGTAGGTTAGGGACTAACTAGGCAGATATTAATGCAGCTCTATTTTGTCTGGAGTTCTCCATCAGCAAACTCTTGTTCAAGAAACTGCTTGGGAAACAATCTAGGTGGATGGTGTTCTTTGACCTCTCTTTCGCTCTTCTCTCTCTCTCTCTCTCTCTCTCTCTCTCTCTCTCTTCTTCCTTTGAATCAGAATTGAGATGGAAGTGACCATCTCAATTGACCAACCCAGACCAACCGCTTCAACACAGGAAAGGTGACTCAGAATAAATGTTTTTTAGACGATGGGGAAGATTTTAGACATGTTTTGTTTGGGGTAAGACAGTTTCATCTGTATGTGGTAGTGGGAAGGTGAGGGGTTTGACCACACCTGGCCTCTTCCTTTCTCTGTTCAGCAGTGATTCCTGGTGGTCTTATGGGCTACTTAGTAGCTTATGGGCTACTCCTGACCATGCTTAGGGACTGTTCTTGGCTGTGTGCTCAGCAGTGATCCCTGGTGGTGCTCTGGGTGCTATGTGGTGTATTGAATTAGGGTTGGCTCCATGAAAGTCAAGTGCCTTCACCTTTTAATTAATTAATTAATTAATTAAGGTAAAGGTAAAGGCCCTCCCATTGTTCATCGATTTGCTCGAGCGGGCCCAGTAACGTCTCCATTGGAGACTTTGTTGTTACTGTGTCTGGCATATCGAATACGTCATGGGGAGCTTGCCAGGCTCTGCTGTGTGGGCGAGATACTCTCGGTAGCTTGCTGGGCTCTCCGAGAGGGGATGTAATTAATTTTATTAGTGAAACACCATGATATACAGTTGTAGACTTACAAACTTTCGTGCTTGGGTTTCAGTTATACAATGATCGAGTACCCATCCCTCCACCAGTGCCCATTCTCCACCACCAATGATCCCAGTAGCCCTCCTACGGTCCCACCCCAAGTGTCTTCACCTTTGTACTATCTGTCCAGCCCTGAAAGTTTCATTTCTTTCACACATTTAATAAGTGCTAATGGTTTTCTGTCCACTATTAGGAAGTCAAAATCAGGTATGTCCTTTGTTTTCCAAGGGCTAAACTAAGAACAGGCCAGTAGGATAGGAGAGGGAAAGGGGGACTTTAGTTGTTATGAGGTAGTTTTCTTTCTTTTTTTAATTTTGGCCACTCCCAGCTGTACTCAGGGCTCACTCTGGGCTCTGAGCTTAGGAATCACTCCAGGCAGGACTAGAGAACCATAAGGGGTGCTGGGATCAAACTCAGCTTGGCTACACACAGCTCCCTACCCACCATCTTATCTCTCCAGCCCTCAAGGCAGCATTTGGAAAAGGTATTCATGAACTGATATGTGGGCACTAGGTGAGGAGGAAGAATCTACTAGGATAACTTTCATTTCTTTTCTTTTTGCTTTAGTCTTTTCACACCCGGCAGTGCTCAGGGATTACTCCTGGCTCTGCACTCAGGGTTCACTCCTTTTGGACTCAGGGAAGTATGTGGGATGCCAGGAATTGAACCTGGATTAGCTACATGCAAGGCAAGCACCCCACCTACTGTGCTCTCACCCCCTACTTCCATTTTTTTTTCTTTTTGGGTCACACCTGGCGATGCACAGGGGTTACTCCTGGCTCTGCACTCAGGAATCACCTCCGGCGGTGCTTAGGGGACCATAAGGGATGCTGGGAATCGAACCCGGGTTGACTGGCAACCGCCCTCCCTGCTGTGCTATTGTTCCAGCCCCCCTACTTCCATTTCTTATGTGCCACAGTTAAATACATGCAAAACTGACGGATACTGTGGTGGCTTGATAAATTCAGGGCACTTCTAAGAGCCTGGATATCCCAAGTGAAGGGCCTAGAAAAACAGTAGCTAAACAAGAAGGGAAGGTCCCGAGGTCAGAGGTGGCAGTAACAGAAAACTGGTCAAATTAACAGAGACACCGGTGACATACAGAGCAGAGGGGTGTCGCCATACCTTGGGTCTTCATTTCCTCGAACTGTCATACTTCCTGTCCTTCATGAAAATCATGACTCAAATGTTTGGGGGCCACAGAGGGGTTATTCCTGACTTTGCACTCAGGAATTACTCCTGAGTAACTGCTGGAGTGATAGCACAGGGGGTAGAGCATTTGCCTCCTCGCCCGCAGAACCAACCCGAGTTGGATTCCTCATTCCCTCTTGGAGAGCCTGGCAGGCTATTGAGAGTATCCCGCCCGCATCACAGAGCCTGGCAAACTCCCCCTGGCTTATTCAATATGCCAAAAACAGTAACAACAAGTCTCACAATGGAGATGTTACTGGTGCCCGCTCAAGCAAATCGATGGACAACGGGAGGACAGTGCGACAGTGCTACAACCCTCCAGGACCATATATGTTGCCAGGGATCAAACCCATCATTGCAGTGTGCAAGGCAAACACTGTGCCCAGTTTCTGGGGTTGGTATACTTGGTTCTGTCAGCAATCGTGCCTGAAAAACTGCTGTTCACAAACCTCAGGGCCAACTTATGGATGGCTACTACCCATCCGATCGGGTTTATGCCATCCCCTGTTCCTAGGATGCAGAAACCCAGGGCGGAACCAATTGTGCACGCTCAGGCAGCGCACGGAGGGAGTGAGTTGCATCAGGGACGGCGGCCCTTTTCGCCGAGACCTCTGGGAAACGTAGTTTCCAGGCTGACCACGGCCTCGGCGCACGCGCAGAGCAGCAGGACCGCGAGTTCGGCCGGAGTGGGGCGGTGGACCCCGGGCGCCGCGCAGGCGCAGTGCCGGCGGGGCGGCCGCGCTCACGCTCATTGTGCTGCCGGCGATGTGGGCAGCTCCCGGGTCGGCCATCGGCCCCCGCGCCCGGCGACCCCTGCTGAGGGGCAGGAGGGCGGAGCGGAAGAAGGGGAGGGGGACGGGGCCGGCCGAGCGGGGCGCCCTGGGATGAGTGAGGTGGGGGCCGGCCGCGGGGGAGCCGGGCGGGCCGGGTGGGCGCGGGGTCCTGGCGCGGCTCTGCAGAGACTCGTGGGGCGCGGGTGCATGTGTGTGTGTGTGGGGGGGAGGGGGCTCCCGGGGAGAGCCCCTGCCTCCCGCGGGCGGAGGACCTGGAAGGGCTCTCACGCCCTTTGGGCTCGGACGCTGCAGACGGAGGCTGGATGAGGACGGGGGATCCCGCAGGACAGAGTGCGGTGGGGAGGGGTGACCCAGCCCAGCGAGGGGTGGACTGGGGTGACCCAGGCCGCTCCCCGCAAATGCACTCGCCAGATAACGCCCTCGCCCCCCTTGGCGCTGACCCTGCTGCAGAGCCGAGAAGTGGGTCTGGAGGCGCCTCCTGCACGGGAGGTCTCCGGAGACGGGGTGAGGGCGGGTGGCAGGGAAAGTTTGGTGCCCACTCGGGGAAGAGTCCCCGGGCTCGGAGAGAGAGGGAGAGAGAGAGAGGAAGCAGGAGTGCAGCGGTCAGTGCAGGCCTGGGCCTGGGGCCGGGGTCTGCAGCGCAACCGCTGGCTGGGAGGTCGCAGCCTCCCCAGGCTGGGGGGGCTCGCCCTTGAACCTGTCTTCTCCTGACAGGTGTGCCGAAGACGTTAGACGGAGACTCTGGCCCAGAGGAGAAGAAATGGCTGGCAGGTGCCAGGTTAGTGGGGAAGGGAAGGTTAGCGGCTGAGGGTAAGTGGGGAATTCTACCTCAGAGCCCCCATCCTGAGCTCTGGTCCAGCTGCCTCTGGCCAGTGGGACTCTCCCCTTGGCCCAGCCAGGTCACTTATCTAAGTCATGGGAGTCCAGAGCTTGGTGCACAGAGAGGGCCGAACTCACACACAGCTGACCCAGGTTTGAGACCTGGCGTCCAGCATGGTCTCTGGAGCCTCCCGAGAACCAGGGGTAAGCCGGGAGCAGCACCGGGGACCCTCAAAAGCAACAACAACAACAACAACAACCTCAAACAAACCAAGAGAAAGTTGCAATCCAGACTGCAATTCCAGCCCAAGGGTCTCGAGCTGGGACAGCGCGGAGAAGCTCAAGGGCTTGAGTAGAGGCTTAGCAGGCAGGGCCAGGGCAGGGCAGCCCCGCCCAATAGTGTGGCCAAAACACAAACACCTGGGCAGTCAGAAGGAAGAGGGGTCATTACATTGATCAGTCTCTCTTGCTCTCTCTCACCCTCCTTCCCTCCCTTTTAAGAACGAAAAAGACTCACGTTAGCTTAAGTAATTTATGGAATATCCCTCCCCCCCTCATCCCCCCCCTCCCCGCTCTCTCTTGCTCTCTCTTACTCTTGCTTTGGGCTTGCTTACTCCTGACTCTGAACTCAGAAGTCACTCCTTCAGGGCTTGGGAACCATATACGGAGCCAGGGATTGAACCTGGGTCCGCTGCAGGCATGGTCAGCACCTTACCTTCTTTACTGTTTCTTTGGATTTTTGATCAGTTTTTCTTTCTTTTAGTTTTGTTCTGGGGCCACACCCAGCAGTGCTCAGGGGTTATTGCTGGCTCTGTGCTCAGGGATCACTCCTGGTGGTGCTCAAGATCAAATCTTGAGTAGGATGGGGTGCCGGAGATTAGAACTGTTTCCGATGCATGCAAGGCAGGTGTCCCACCACCAGCTGTACTCTCTCTTTCTCCAGCACCTCCCCAACCTCCAGCAGCTTATCTTTTTTTTTGGGGGGGGGGGACATTCCAAGGATTGACACATAGTTCATTTATTATGGCAATAGTATACAATATAATGAGGAAATTGTACACTATAGTGGTGAAGTTGTATTTAGAGTTCATTTATAAGCTATCTTATATGCATGTATTAGTTCATTTGAGATATTCCATAAGTTACTTAAGCTAATGTCAGTCTTTTTCGTTCTTAAAAAAAAAATCATACAGTTGGATTAATTTCACTATCTTGATTTTGAATTTTCTGTTTCTTCTGTTTCATTTAGTCTGACATTGAACCTCTATTTTTTGTTCAGTAACTATGTCCTTCATTTCTTTGATTTCTGTTTGTTACTTTCAAATATTTTTTATCTTGATAATGCATCTCTCTCCGATCGTGGTCACGGTCACGGTCCTCCCGTTGTTCATCGATTTGCTCGAGCGGGCCCAGTAATGTCTCCATTGTGAGACTTGGTAGTTACTGTGTTTGGCATATTGAATACGTCACGGGGAGCTTGCCAGGCTTTGCCGTGCGGGCGAGATACTCTCAGTAGCTTGCCGGGCTCTCCGAGAGGGGCGGAGGAATCGAACTTGGGTCAGCCATGTTGGCTACGTGTAAGGAAAACGCCTTACCCGCTGTGCTATCGCTCCAGCCCCGATCTTGGTATCTTTTTTTTGTTTGTTTGTTTTTTGCTTTTTGGGTCACACCCAGTGATACTCCTGGCTCTGCACTCAGGAATTACTCCTGGCGCGGTGCTCGGGTGACCATATGGGATGCCGGGGACGGAACCCAGGTGAGCTGCCCTGCCTGACGTACTATTGCTCGATCCCCTTGCTGAGCATCTTGATGACTGTTGTTTAAACTCTCTTGCATCAGTTGTGTTAATTTCACAAAGATCTGTTTCTGGAGATTTCTCCTTTTCTTTGACATTATGCATTGTTTGTGCCCATCCAATGGAATAGCTACTTCCTGGAGTTATACAGATTCCTCTCATGAGGGAGATGAGGCTTATCAGTCAGCCTGGTCCAAGATCTTTAGTTCTTTCCTAAATTTTTGTGATTGTTCAAGCCCCTCCTCTTTTCTTCATGACACCTGGAACAAACTGAATCTGTGGATGTGAATGTGGAAGGTGGTGGCAATTTTTTGTGAGTTTTTCTAACACCCCCCTTTTGTGAGCTGGACAAGCCTTACATTAGAAGTAACTTTTTCACAGCCCAGCCAGGAATTTCTGCAGACTTCCACCATTTCTTGGACCTGAACTTGAAAAGAACCCCAGAAAATTTGGAGAGATATTCTGGGGGTTAAGGTACTGACATTGTAAATGACGGACTCCAGTTTGATCCCTGGCACTGCTTAGGGTCCCGTGAGCATTGCCAGGAGGAATCCCTGAGCACCCCTGGGTATGGCCCAGACCCTCTTCCCGAAAAGAGAAAAAGGGAACTCCAGGTGTGGCCCAATTCCCCTGGGGACAGGTGATACTGCGTCACATGGGTTTCTTGCTTGTTCCTTTCTTTTTTTTTTTTTTTTTTGTGAGGGGGACTTTTTTTGGGTCACAGCCGGTAATGCTCAGGGATCACTCCCGGCGTTGAATTACTCCTGGCGTTGCTCAGGGGATCAGGTTGGGATGCAGGGGATCCCTGGGTTAGTTGTGTGGTTATGTGCAAGGCAAAAGCTTTACCTGCTTGGTTTATTTATTTATTTATTTATTTGACTTTTTGGGTCACACCTGCAATGTTCAGGGGTGACTCCCAGCTCTGCACTCAGGAATTACTCCTGGCGGTGCTCAGGAGACCATATGAGATCCAACCCAGGTAGGCCATGTTAAAGGCAAAAGCCCTCCCCACTGTGCTATTGTTCCTGCCCCTGGGGATGGATTCTCAGGGGTGTGGCTGGCGGGGATAGGGCCAGCCAAATGAAATGAAGCACCATTAGGCAGGTGCCAAGAAACTTCCCTTCTCTGCACTGCTTGTTGCTCCCAGTGTAGAGCTGCCTCCAGAGAAGCCGCCACAGGACAGTCTGTGCTTCAGGAAGCTCTCGTGGCTGAAGGTGGGCTTTAGTCTTGCGAGAGGGATTACCTGAGTGGGGGGTTCATTGCTGTTGCAGGATGCTGTGAGCATCGGGGATGTGGTGGTGGTCTTCACTCCCGACGAGTGGACCCAGCTGAGCCCGGCCCAGCGGGCCCTGTACCAGGAGGTCATGCTGGAGACCTACAGCCACCTGGTGGCTCTGGGTAAGCTGTGGAACCTCGGGGACCCCAACTGTGTTTGTGGGCCCCTCTTGAGAGCTTGGGGGTCATGCAGGATGGTAGGGAGAGAATGTCTGATGGAGGGTGCTGCATGCTTGTCTGGACTTGAACTCCTGCTAATAAATGCCTGAAAGAGGGGTTGGGGTTACTTCTGGGGCTCTGCCTAAGTCTCCTACCAGTTCTGACCCTTTTTATGTCACTGAAGCACCTATGTCAGTGTTTTGTGTGGGTTGCCGAAGGCTCCTTAGCCTTCTGGGAGGTGTGGGAAAATGGAGCTTCTTCATTCATAAAGAGACCGAGGCAGCACCCCCAGGGCACAAGGAGGCCTGGGAAGAAGGGGTGAGTATAGGGAAATTTAAGAGGAAGGGAAGGAACACAGACATGGGGACCCGGGGTGTGCTTCTGTTGGGATGGGGTAGGAGGGTTAGGGTCTAGCAGAGTCACTCTGTCAGTGAACTGAAGTAATCAGATGGGGGATTTATTTTATTTGCGGGGGGCACACCTGGAGTTGTTCAGCGCTGACTCCTGGCTCTGTGCTCAGGAGCACCTCCTGGTGGCACTCAGGGGCTATTCCTATTTTTGTTTTTTGTGCTGAGGAGTGCCCTTGGCAGAGCTCTTCTTGGGACCCTTTGGGGTGGCAGGGATCAAGGCAAGCACTTTCCCCCAGCTCTCCAGCTCCCAGAGGGGACTTTTAACACACCAGAGGGACGATCAGAGAGGAACATCTTGAGTCAGTGACTGACTCTGTGGCAGGGTCTCGCCCCTCCCATTCATCTCATCCAGCACAGTACTCGGCATTCCCTCCCTCACTCCCTTCCTTCTTTCCTGTGCTCAGGCTTGACTCCTGGCTCTGCACTCAGGAATTACTCCTGGTAGTGCTCAAGGGACTCTATGGGATGCCAGGGATTGAACCCGGGTTGGCAGCAAACACCCTCCTTGCTGTGCTATCACTCTGGCCCCAGGGACACTTACTTTTTGGGGAGGAAAAGGTGGTGATTGGGGTTCATGTCACTGGGTCGAATCCTTCACCTCCACACCACAGCCCCTCAACAAAACTGTGGGTTGGAGTTAGACCCAAGCTGTCTCCCCATCCCCATCTTGGGACCCCCCCCCCCCCCCCCCCGATTGAGACCACATTCTGTACAACAGAGGTCAGCTTGACCATGACTCTGTCCCTGGAGTGACCAAATCCTCTTCTTCTGCAACAGGACTCGTGGGACCCAAGCCAGAGCTGCGCCGAGGGGTGGTGGGCAGCAGCTCCTGCCTTGGTGAGTGCACAGTTCTGCAGTGTAACACTCTCACTGCACCACCCCGTTGTCCATCCAGCCCTGCAGCCACCTTTGTCCTGCCGCTTCCTGTGGCTGTGCATGTTTGTGCATGTATGTGCAGGTCCCTGCAGAACCCTCCATGCCCAGGGATCAGCTGGGGTCTCCCCGCGGTACAGTGGGAAGGTGCTTTCCTGGCATGTGGCTGACCTGGGTTCAACCCCCAACATCCCTGAGCACTGCCAGGAGTGACCCCTGAGCATCGCTGGGTGCAGCCATACCCTCTGCCAAAGAGAAAGACCTTTGTACCCATTTCCTCTTTGCTGTCCCTTTATATATCATCTCCCCCAGGCCCCAAGGCAAGTCTTGGCGGAAGTTTCCCCCTAAAAATGGTTACATGGATTCTTTATTTTGTTTGGTTTGGGGACCACGCTAGGCGATGTTCAGGGCTTCCTCCTGACTCTGCTCCCAGGATCACTCCTGGTGGTGCTCAGGGGACCCTATGGGATGCCAGGGATCAAACCCAGGTTGACTGTCCAAGGCAAGTGCCCTCCCTGCTGCACAATAAATAGCTTGGCTGACAGGTCAGGAAGTCAAGTAGACCTTCCCCCTGGTCAGAGCAGACCTCTCAGCACCAGCCTGGTGTCTTTCAGATTGGCTGACAGTGCTCAAGAGTCAAAAGCCAAGTCTCCAGTCAGCACTTCCCAGAGAACCAGAGCCGCGGGATGGAAGAACTCCGAGAGAGTTTCCGTGGCTGGAGCCCACCCGCCTGGCTGAGTGGGGAAGCAGAGACCAGCAGGGAGCCCGGCCACGCAGCCCTGCGACCCAGCAGGCGGCGTCCGATGGGGTGGTTGGTGAGCAGAGAAGGGTGCGGCCGGGGAGGGGCTGCTCGCCCACCCTGGGGTCCGCCGCCGCCGTGCTCCCAAGCCCAGACCCCCCGCCCGGTGGGGCTGCCCTGGCCTGCGACGAGTGCGGGAAGAGATTCTCCCGGAGCTCGTCCTTGCAGCGGCACCGCCGGGCGCACGGTACCAGGCCACCGGCGCCCGCCCCGCGCAGGGAGAAGCGCTACGAGTGCAGGGAGTGCGGCAAGGCCTTCCACCAGAGCACGCACCTCATCCACCACCAGCGGGTGCACACGGGCGAGCGGCCCTACGAGTGCAAGGAGTGCGGCAAGGCCTTCTCGGTGAGCTCGTCCCTCACCTACCACCAGAAGATCCACACGGGCGAGAAGCCCTTCGCGTGCCAGCTGTGCGGGAAGGCCTTCATCCGAAACATCCACCTGGCGCACCACCAGCGGCTGCACACGGGCGAGAAGCCCTTCCGCTGCGACACCTGCGACAAGGCCTTCGTGTGCCGGGCGCACCTCACTAAGCACCAGAACACGCACAGCGGCGACAAGCCCTACAAGTGCGGCGACTGCGGCAAGGCCTTCAGCCAGAGCACCAGCTTCCTGCAGCACCAGCGCATCCACACGGGCGAGAAGCCCTTCGAGTGCCACGAGTGCGGCAAGGCCTTCCGCGTCAACTCGTCGCTCACCGAGCACCAGCGCATCCACACGGGCGAGAAGCCCTACCGCTGCGCCGAGTGCGGCAAGGCTTTCCGCGACAACTCCTCCTTCGCGCGCCACCGCAAGATCCACACGGGCGAGAAGCCCTACCGCTGCGGCCTGTGCCACAAGGCCTTCCGGGACCAGTCGGCGCTGGCCCAGCACCAGCGCACCCACACGGGCGAGAAGCCCTACGCCTGCCCCAGCTGTGGGAAGGCCTTCAGCGACCACTCGGCGCTCACGCAGCACAAGCGCATCCACACGCGCGAGAAGCCCTACGCTTGCAAGGTGTGCGGGAAGGCCTTCCTGCGCAGCACCCACCTCACGCAGCACCAGCGCATCCACACCGGCGAGAAGCCCTACAAGTGCTCCCGCTGCGGGAAGGCCTTCAACCAGACGGCCAACCTCATCCAGCACCAGCGGCACCACGGGGCCGAGAAGTGATGGTGGGCGAGGCCCTGTACGGGGCTGGCCGAGGACCCCCTCTGTGGACAGACTCTGGAGTTGAGCTTGGCTGGACTGGGATTCACGTGGCCATATCTGACCCCCACCCCAGCGGTAGTTCAGAATCAGCCGCCCTGTTTTCTTCATCCCCCTGAATCACGCAAGGAGCAGAACTACAGCGGTGCTTTCTGAACCCAGGCATTGGGTTTGCCCCGACAGAGTTTGCCTTTTCTGAGTTTCAGTGTTTGGGGGCCACACCTCGGGGGACCCAGGGGCTGTTATTTCTAGTCCCCAGGCTCCACCGGATGACGCTGGTGGTAGTGGTGGGAGCTGGGTCTCCCCTCTGCAAAGCCTCTGCTCCTCGCCCTTGGGGCCGTCTCTCTCACCCTTACCTTTGGAGTCCCAAGAGAAAGGGTGAAATTGAACAATCAAAAGACAGAAGCAAAATAATCAGAAATACAAAATGGTCAGCAAGTATTCTGCACTACCTGTTCTCGTTTGTGTGTGTGGGTAGGGGTGGGGGCTGGGTTCCACTTCTGTGGGCCCCTTCATTCTCTTTACCCACACTCCTGATGTCCCCTGAAAGGAAGTACAGCTCTAGCCACTGATGGAAGCCTCAGTCACTCCCCACCATCAAACCTTTTGTCCACTCTCCCTGGGCTCAGAATTCACTGGTTTCTTCCCTATCTTTTTTGGAGACAGACAGGTCACTTGCCCGGCCCATTGGAACTATTACCAGCACCATATACCACCCTCTGCAGCCCCCTCATGTGTGTTTGGGGTGGGGGGTTCTGCTTCAAACCCAGCTCTCAGACCTGAGACTATATGGATCAGGTGTCTTTGGAGGGGACCAGAGTGATAGTATGGCTGCAAGGGCATTTGAATTGCACACAGCCAACCTGGGTTCAATTCCCAGTACCCCAGAGGCTCCCCCAAGCCTACCAGGGATGGTCCCTGAGCACAGAGCCAGGAGTAAGCCCTGAGCTGGTCATGACCCAAAACCAAAAAAAAAAAAAAAGTCTTTTGAACTAACTCATGCCTCTGGACCTTAGCCTGACTAGGACTTCCAGTATGACCTCCTGAGTTCAGCATGACAACTTGACTTCCGGGCCAAAGGCCTGACTTCCAGTGCAGCGATTCTGAACCTCCTTGGGGCAGCGTCAGCTCTTTTCCCTCCTGAGCGTCTCCACATTCTGCTCTGCAACCAGCATTAAGAGGCTGGGACCCTGGGAGTTAGTGTTCTAGAGCCCATCCGTTGCATGCCCGGAAGTCATGTCACCACCACCACCAGCCTTGCCATGCGCTTGGCCAGTTCTCTGAGGCATTGGCTGCCCGTCCTTCGCAGCGCATTCCTGTCACTCAGACACATTCTGTTGGGATCGTGGCGGGGGGTGCGTGAGTTTCCTGGGAAGGGCTCGATCAGGCCAAGCATGCATGACAGCAGCCACACCCATGTGCTGGGAATTCGGCAGGGACATGCCCAGCTGCCCTTCCAGCTCTCGGCTGTCGCATGCAACAGCCATGCTCACATCTGTGTCTTCACTGGCCGTGTCTGTAGATGCTCCTTCCTCACCTCCCTCCACAGTGGACTGTCACAGCTAGTGAGTCCCCCTGGGAGGTTTGGAGCTGCCCCACCCCTCAAACTCTCAGGTTTGGTCCATTTCCATCAGGCTGGACTCAATGTCATACAAGTCACTGGCATCTTCCAAGCCCAAACTCTAAATCCAACTTCCACCAGATGAAGGCCACTGTGGGGGCAGCAACAGGCCCCTGCACGGGTGATGGGTGCCTGTGCCCCGTGCATATCTTTGTGCTTGTCACCCACATCTGCACGAGAAACTCAGAAATATGTGCCATGAGCCACAGAGTTCAGCCTGGGGTCCCTAGCTGCCGGCCTTCCTGATCAGCATCCCCCTTTCCCTTGAGTCCACAGGGGTAAGTAACCACGTGTCCAGTCTGGGTCATGTGAGCACCTGCACAGGTGGCCTTCCTGCGGGTGAATGGGGGCCCTTGCTCATCACAGTGATGGCTTAAGGCCCTGGAGGTCACACCATGTCCCCAGTGTCATGCATGGCATTAGGGCCTTGTAGAGTGATTCCTGTTCCTTTGGCCGAAAGTTGTCTGGGAAACAGACACAGAGCCAAGGAAACGGGCACCTGGGTCAGACTCCCTCTGTTCATAGCCTGAGAGAGCAGCCAGCAGATTTCTGATGTTCTTCCAGAACTGCCTTTTATTCTTCGACAATTCACATCCACCTTTGCTGAGGGTGACTGCTCCATTTATGCGGTGACTATCTCATCCCATGTAGCTGGGCTTCTGCTTGGCTTCCACATAGCTTCCTGGACCTGTTAACAGGTTGTTTTTGTATTCACTCCTGCCCACAGTTTACTCCAAGCTTATGCCCAATGATAGTGATTACTTTGGCTTTGTACTCAGGGATCACTTCTGGTGATGCTCAGGGGATCGTATAGAATGCTGGAATTGAACCCAGGTTGGCTGTGTGCAAGGCAGGTACCCTCCCGCTGTACTATCACTCTGGCCCCCATAGGCTTGCTCAAGGAATCCCCAGCTGTGTGTGTTCACAACATTTGTGTGGGGGCGGGGGGATGGGGGAGGCCCTCACTGCATGTGTTTGGTGTCTATGAGCTGCCTCCCAACCCTGTATGGCCCATGGCAATGGGCGAATGAAGGAGGAAACGAGGGCCAGGCTGGTTGGTGATCAGCTGTCATTTATTCCAACCTCATCTCCCGCTGCCTCCTTCCAGTCTCACCTGTTGGTGCCTGGCCAGATCATGAGGACAAGTCCTTGGACGCTGCCCAGCAAGCAGGAAGCAGAACCAGGACCCCACTTTGAACTAAGTTGGCAAGTTGAAGCTTGTGAGTCCAATTGATCTGGAAAGGGTTCACAGGTCCTCCTTCATCTGGCTTGGTCATACACTAACTTCTGGCAGCACAAGCAAAGAGCCCTCCTGCTTGTCATAGACTCAGGTGTGAGGAGGTCGTGACCTGTGCAGCCTGTGTGCTCGACCTGGCCTTCCTCCCAAGGACTGTAGCTGTTTGCTTCATGGACACGGGAGGACAATGCATGCTTTGGTGCCCTGGTGAGATATGTTTAGTCTGTGCTCCAATACTCCTTTGTTAATGATTTTTTCTGCTTTGCTGAATTCTCTGGAGAGGTTTACTATAGGAAGGCTGTGTTAACTCAAAAACAAAAACAGCAGTCTAGCTATCCTGCCGCCTGTGTTCGGTAGTCTCGAGCTGCTTCCCCCACTCTGGGGAGGTTGATGGCGATGGGCAGGCAAAGGAAGGAAACGAGGGCCAGCCTGGTTGGTGTCAGTTGCAGGTTATTCCAATCCCATCTCCATTCTCTGATTCTCCTCCTGCTTCTTCCTCCCCCATGCTACTTCATTCTCCTCCTTGATCCTCCTTCATTCTCCTTCTGACTCTGGAATCTGGATCTGGATCCCCCTTTCTCCTTCTCCTTCTGGAGTCTGGATCCTGATCCCCCAGCCCACTCTTACAGTCTAGTTATATCCCCCACATGAGGGGTTGGGGCTTACACAAAGGTGTGGTCACAATCAACAGGGGTAAAGTTCTTTCCCTTGGGGAAAGCCGCTTCAGGACAGATACTCTCTTAGCATAACAACCCACCCTAAAACGGAATCCCTTCAGTGTGTTTCTCCTTTCCTTGTCCAACAAACATATAAGCATTCATAATATTAATCATTTTGTATGGACACAGTAAGAAATACATTAAGCTTATAGAATTGCTATCCTAGGGTCATCTCTATCTCAGACTACAGTGCTCAGGCCAAATAGTCTTTCCTATTCCTAGCAGGGTCCTACTCTCGTCATTACTTTTGGATCATGGCAGCATTTGTCTATGAGCAAGCTCTTACAGTTAAGAATCGTGACACTTTGGCCTGGCCCATTTCAATGCCAGGGTAGCTCACAGCTTGCCCTTGGTCCATTCAGTCCATCGTCGGGACCCTGCTTTTGGGGTGCTAGGAACTAAGGGCAACTGAGGCTTAAGTCGAGAAAGCAGATGCCCAGGAGTGAATATTATTCAAAGCCAATTAAATCCTAAGTTACAAAAGCATAATATTAACTGTCTTCCTGTATCTATACAAAAAGAACATTGCTTTAAAGTAAACTATTCAAAAGACATAAGGAGAGAAGAAAGGCAATATTAACTTACAGTACAATTTCAGTGTCCTAGAAGGATCTGACCTTATAAATAATTAACAGATTCTGATTAGAGGGGAAAGCTGATTAACTGGTTGGGGAAGAGAGCATAGAGAAGAGGTTACAGATAAACAAAGGAATGGGAGCACTGTGATGGGTGTAACCTGATAAACCTAAGCTCCTTATGGCAAGGGAGAAAGGACAAATCAATTGTTATCCTACAGAAAGCAGATAAACAGAGACTGCAAAAGCTGCTCTCCACAGACAAGCCTAGAAGAGCTGCTGTCGTATGAGCATCAATGTTCCTCCTGTGTGACTTGCCTCTGTGCTTCCGACTGATAGATCGTTCGTGAAACACTCACCCACTGCCGTATTCCATCTCCTGCTTTACCCCATGTGACTCTCACTCTGCCCATTCTTGCAGCCTTAGTCATGGACTCAATCCCTTGGAGTTCAGGGTAGCAAATACACCTGGGTGAGTTAGCGCGATCAACTATAAAGCCCTTCCCTTCCTTCCGTGAAAGCTCTTCTAAGGCAAAGATTTCATCCTGCTAGGAGATCCACTCAAGGGTGGAACTTCATCTGGTGGTGCTCAGGAGATCATATAGAATGCTGGAATTTCTCCTTTCCTTAGTTCATACCCACTAAAATGGTCATATTAAATTTACTTCTTAATAATCTTTCTCGTCATTTTTGCATGGACACAGCAAAGGATATATTATAAGTTTATAGGGTGGCTCTCCTGGGAACACCTTGCTATAGATCCCAGACTACAGCCCTCAAGCTAGATTAGTCCTTCCTAACGCCAGCAGGGTCCTTGTCCAGTCACTTCTCTTTGGGTCATGACAGAATTTGTTCATGACTGTGCTCTTAGTTTTATGGCTCTTGGCCTGTCCCTTTTTGATGCCAGGGTAGCTTACAGCTTGCCTTGGGTTCATCCAAATCCCTTTGTTGGGACCCTGCTTTGGGGGTGCTAGGAACTAAGGGAAACTGAGGCTTAAGTAAATATGACAGATGTCCAGGAGTTACTATTATTTGCAGTCAATTAACTCCCATGTTATAAAAGCATAGGATCAACTGTCTTCCTGTGTCTATGCAAAAAGGACATTGCTCTAAAGAAAACTATGCAAAGGACATAAGGGAAGAGAAAAACAGTATTTCACTTGCAAATACAAAACCCAGAGTCCTTAGAAGAATCTGACCTTACAAGTCTGATTTGAGGATATAGGTGATTAACAGATAGGGGAAGCAGAGCACAGAGGAGTTAAAGACAGAGGAATGGGAGTGCCTGGGAGCACTGTGGTTGGTGTAAATCAATAAACCTAAGCTCCCTGAGGCAAGGGAGAAAGGACAGAGGAGAAAGGACGGACCAATGTTATCCTACACCCAGCTAAGGCTGGTTCTCTGCCAGCTCCAGAAGTCAGCTGCAGACCAGCTGCAGACCAGATTCTTATGCAAGTGTACTCTGAAAACCCGACACCATGGTGTTGGATACTTGGAGCTGGAGTGTGTGAAAAACGTGCACAATAATTTTTCATATTGAGACAAAGAGGTCAAAGCTAAGGAAGTAACTCAGTGGGGGTTGCAAGTGGGAGTTATAAGTGCAGGAAGCAGGCTCAACTGCTGGCAATGCAAATCCATAGGAAGAAAGATCGACTTAATTATTTCCAGAGGAATTGTCCATTCCACTTTAAGCCTCTTGCCAATTAATAACACTATCGAAAAGCTGGGGCCAGAGAAATAGGACAGCAAGTAGGGCACTTGTCCTACCTGACTCAAGCCCCGGCACCCCATATGGTGCCTTGAGTCATGTCAGGAGTGATCCCTGAATTCAGAGTCAGGACTAAGCCCTGAGCACCATTAGGAGTGACCCCAAAACCAAGATGAATAATTTTGGGGGCCAGAGTGATAGAACAGTGGATAGAGTATTTGTCTTGCATATGGTCAGTCTGGGTTCATTCCACAGCATCCCATATAGTCACGTGAGCTTTGCCATGAGTGATTACTGGGCTCAGAACCAGGAGTGAGCCTGGAATACAGCCAGGTGTGGTCAAAAATTTAAAAAAATTAATTGAAAAGCAACAGAACAGTCAAGTCAAATTTGGGGGAGAGTTTCATTTATTTAACAAGAGGCCATGGGGTAAAATCAGGGACCATGGATAGAATTAAATTGGGGGCATATCACATCCAGAGTACACAATATAATACATGTGAAAAAGCTATAATTAATGTAATGAACCTGTCCCCAAATTTCCAGCAGCAAAAAATACAAATATAACAAACATTTTTAAAAGCCCTTATTAGAAATTTCAGTATGTAGGACATGGATAATAACCTTACAGATAAGTAATTGAAAGTTTATAGAAAATTATAGTGAGACTGCGAGAACTCAAAATGGAGAGAAATACTGTGGTTGTAATGTAGAAATTTTCCCCTTGAGAACACCCTTCACTGGAAAAAAGTGTTCATACCAAGGGAAAACTGGTAGCAACGGCATGGAGAAAAATGACAGAGAGCCCACTTTGTATACAACATAGACGAACCCATGTGACATACCTTACAATTTCCACAAATGGGGGGAAGGCATTACTCACGAAGTTCACATAGATTAATTGGGTCCTAGAGAGAGCTCTGACCATAGAACCAGAAATAGATCCCCTAAGCACCACTAGAGGGCGCGCCTAAGCTCAGAGCCAGGAGTACCTCATTAACACCATCAGGGGGCATTCCTGAGCCCAGAGCCAGGAAACCCCCCTCCCGCCATCAGGGGGCGCTCCTGAGCTCAGAGCCAAGGATAGGCTCTGAGTGCTACCAGGGGGCGCTTCTGACCATCCAAGTGGGCCAAGTCCATGACTCTATGATGACCTCTGCATTTCAGACCAGAGTAAATACAGTCCCTCTCTTGGGTAGGGTCCTTCACAACGTGAGGAAGTGAGGCAAGAGGAGGCAAGAAAAGGGCACCGTCCTCCCAGTGGGCACTGTCCTCCCAGCCACCCCCACTCACTACTGGGAGTCCTTGGGGGGAGCCACTGTCACTGTCGGGGCTGTCTTGAGGCTCCGCTTCCGCTTCTGTACGTTCAGCTCGGGGTGGAAGAGGATGGTGTAGGTCTTGGGGATGTAGAGCATGCCGAGGGAAACTGAGGCACTCAGGCTCAGGGACACAGTCAGCGTGGTGGTCTGGATGTAGATCTGCATCACGGAGAGAGGGATGAGGTGGGATTCGGCCCCCAGACTCTCCCTCTCTCCCTCCAGCCCATGCAGACAGCAGCGAGGGTGTCTCCCAGGTTGGGGATGGGAGTGAGCACCAGGAAAATGACGAGAGCGGAAAAGCCAACGCCGCAAGGCCGAATGGCAGAAACATTATTACATGGCTCTGGAGTGCGCAGGAAGGATGGTAAGTGACAGAAGTGAGGTGACAGGTGAGCAAGAAAAGCAAGGAGTTCATCACAGAAATTCGCAATGGGAGAATCCATCTTTATATCTGAGAGAACTCCAGCTTTGGGTAGGAATGAATGAATGGATAACCATTCAAATAGAGGAATGAAAGAACAGAAATTGAAGCATGGAGAGGCTGGAGCAATAGTACAGCAGTTCAGGCACTTCACTTGCCTTGCACGCACCCGTCCCTGGCTCAATTCCCGACATCCTATATGCTCCCCCAAGAATGGCCGGGAGTAATTTCTGAGTGTAGAGCCAGGAGCATCACCAGGTGTGACCCCCCAAAAAAATAAAAACTAAATTGAAGGAGGGAGCCATAGAGATAATACATGGGTGAATGTGCTTGTCTAACAGCAGGCTGACCTGGGTTTGAGCACCAGGACCCCATCGAGTGCGCTGAGCCCTGCCAGGAGTGATCCCTGAGTCCAGAGCCAAAGGGTGCCCTGAGCACTGCTGGGGGTTGCCCTACAATGAAACAAAATCCCAAAACTGAAAGGAGTGGAAGGATATGTGGAGGCTGGTGGTAATGAAACAGGTGACAGGTGTGTGTTTCTCCACATGAATAAATATTTGAGCAGAGATTGGATAGAAAGGCCAGAGCCTAACGGACAAAGCATCGGAGAGGTAGTTGAATCAACCGAGAAGCACAGAGAGCCTGGGATGGATGGATGGATGGATGGATGGATGGATGAATGGATGGATGGATGGAAGAATGGATGAATGGATGGATGAAGTGGGGACTCTTAGAAAGAGATTGGAAAACCACAGGAAAAAATATTGAAGGATGTGAATGAATGAAGTAAGCAACCAAAAAGTCACCCCGAAAATCAACACAGATCCCTCCATCTGGAAGAGGGGGGACATCAGGGCTACCTTCTCAGCCGACTGGGCAGTGCCAAAGAAGATGGGCACAAAGGCCAGCCAAATGATGCAAGTGGTGTACATGGTGAAGCCGATAGGTTTGGCCTCGTTGAAGGTCTCGGGCACGCCTCGTGCCTTGATGGCATACACGGTGCACGTCACCATGAGCAGGAGGCTGTAGGCCAGGCAGCCAATGAGTGACACGTCGGACATGTCGCACTTGAGCACCCCCCGAGCCTGCTCCGGGTCAACAGTTCGCTGCTCCTCATAGTCAATGATGCTTCTGGGAGGTTGGGCCCCCATCCAGGCAAATACACCCACCACCTACAAGAGAAAATGTGGGGTCTGGCTGGGGGCGGGGGAGCCCACGCACATGAGTCATCATTGTCCACGTTTCCTCTCCAGACCCTGCTTTAAAGATGTCAATTTCTTGGGGCTGGAGTGGTAGCACAGCTGTAGGGCGTTTGCCTTACAAGCAGCCAACATAGCTGACCCGAGTTCGATCTTTCCGCCCCTCTCGGAGAGCCCGGCAAGCTACCGAGAGTATCTCGCCCACAGGGCAAAGCCTGGCAAGCTACCCGTGACGTATTCGATATGCCAAACACAGTAACAACAAGTCTCACGATGGAGACGTTACTGGGCCCGCTCGAGCAAATCGATGAACACCAGGAGGACCATGACCGTGACTGGAGCGATAGCACAGCGGGTAGGGCATTTGCCTTGCATGTGGCCGACCCAGGTTTGATTCCCAGCATCCCATGATGCCAGGAGTAATTCCTGAGTGCAGAGCCAATTCCTGAGTGCAGAGCCAGGAGTAACCCCTGTGCATTGCCAGATCACTGTCACTGTCCTCCCGTTGTTCATCGATTTGCTCGAGCGGGCTCAGTAACGTCTCCATTGTGAGACTTGTTGTTACTGTGTTTGGCATATCCAATACGTCACAGGTAGCTTGCCAGGCTTTGCTGTGCAGGCGAGATACTCTCACTAGCTTGCCAAGCTCTCCGAGAGGGGCGGAGGAATAGAACTTGGGTCGGCCATGTTTACTGCTTGCAAGGCAAACGCCCTACCCGCTGTGCTATCGCTCCAGCCCACGTTGCTGGGTGTTACCCCCCACCCCCCAAAAAAGGTGTCAATTTCTTAGCAGCCACCTGGCTAAGGAGGAACCGGTTGCCGCCCTTGGCAGTGAGACTCTGCATCGTTAATGTCACTGATTGCTTGAGATGACTCTTGGGGGGTGGGGTTTGGGCCACATCTGGTGACTCAGTGGCTATCCCTGGCTCTGTACTGTCGTGGCCTCTGGTGGTGCTCGGGAGTGCCCCCTAGTGGTGATCAGGAACTCTCCCTGGCTCAGTGTACAGGAGCTACCTCTGGCCATGCCCAGGGGACCACATGTAGTGCCAGTAATTGAACGAGGCTTGATAGCATGCAGTGCAAGCACCTTAATTCCTGAATTATCTCTGACTCCTTTCCCTTTGATCTATCTTGCAGTGCTTTGTTTTATTTATATTTTTTGGGGGGTTGGGGTAATGCGAAGGGGTTATTTCTGGTTCTGGGCTCAGGGGTCACTCTCAGTAGTGTCCACAGGATCATGTGGGGCTAGGGTTTAAATCCAGGCCTCCCAAATGCAAAGACTGAATGGGGCTCAGTGAATTATCTCTCACTAAGAATGAGTGAGCGGGGCTGGAGAGATAGCACAGCGGGTAGGGCATTTGCCTTGCACGCAGCCGACCCAGGTTCGATTCCCAGCATCCTATATGGTCCCCTGAGCACCATCAGGAGTAACTCCTGAGTGCAGAGCCAGGAGTAGCCCCTGTGCATTGCCCAGGTGTGACCCAAAAAGAAAAAAAAAGTGTGAGTGAGCATCTCTCTCTCTCCTCCCTCATGGAAGCAAGAACAGAAAAAGAAATGACTTTTTAAAAAAATTTTTATTTTGTTTCATTTTGGGGCCACAACTGGCAATGCTCAGGTCTTACTCCTGGCTCTGCACTCAGAAATCACTTCTGGCAGTGCTCAGGGAACCATATGGAATGCTGGGGATCAAACTTGGTTAGCTGCAGGCAAGGCAAGCACCCTACCCACTGGATGACTGCTCTAGCCCTAATTTGTATTTATTTGGGGGTTGGGCCACACGCTGCAGTAGTGCTCAGAGTATATGTAGACCTGTGCTCAGAAGCACCCACTGGCAGTGCTCCTGGGCACAGTGCGTTGCTGGGGATTTGAAACATCATCCCCCAGGTGCCAGGCAAACATCTCCCCTCTTTCATACATTCTCACCAGCCCCACCCAACGCTGATTTTTTTCTTTATTCTCATTTTGTAGCCATTTACACTGAGGGACTGTGATTTACAAATGCTGTTAATTATACTGTTCATGCTTACATCACCCCAACACCACACCCGTCTCTAGAGAACCTGCTTCTCTCTGACAGCATCCCAAGGATCTGCTCAATATCCCGCCCTGTGGAGACTCAATTCTAGAGACATAATCTTCAGTTCTGATAACTTTGACCATTTGCTGTTCCTTAACTATGTTTAAGAAGAAACAGAGAAGCTCTTTGGACCACACCCAGCATTGCTCAGAGGTTGTTCCTAGTTCTGCACTCAGGGGTCACTCCTGGCGGGCTTTGGGGAGCATATTGGGTGCCAGAGATCAAAATGAGTTCGGCTGCATGCCAGGCAAGTGCCCTACCCACTGTGCTATTGCTCTGGCCTGCTCTATGTCTCTTTTAGTCTCATATAAGAGATTTATCTTTTTGTTGTTCATTATTATTATTATTATTATTATGGTGTTGGGTCACACCCATTGAGCCTAAAGGGTTACTCCTGGAAGTGCCCAGGGGACCTATGGGAGGCCAGCGACCAAACCAGAGGTCAGGTGGATACAAGGCAAACACCCTCCTGCTGTACTATCAGTCTGACTCTGTTTTTTTAAATTTGAAGATATAGTTGAACAAAGTGAATCTCCTGAGATACCACAAAATTGTAAAGTAAAGTAAAGGCCCTCCCGTTGTTCATCGATTTGCTCGAGCGGGCCCAGTAACGTCTCCATTGGAGATTTTGTTGTTACTGTGTTTGGCATATCGAATACATCGCAGGGAGCTTGCCAGGCCCTGCCATGCGGGCGAGATACTCTCGGTAGCTTGCCGGGCTCTCCGAGAGGGGCGGAGGAATCGAACTCGGGTTGGCCATGTTGGCTGCATGCAAGGTAAACGCCCTACCGCTGTAATATCGCTCCAGCCCCAGAAAAACTCGAGCAAACAAAATTGTAAATCAGTGATAAATTGATAAAGTAAAATCTTCTTTTGCAAAATGAATTTTTTCTTTTTTAATTTCTTGTTTGTTTGGGGGCACCACCGGTGGTACTTAGGTTTTACTCCTGGTTCTGTGCTCAGGGCTCACGCTGGGTGGGGCTGAGAAGCCCAAATGGAGTGCCAGGATTGAGTCCCAGCCAGACAGGTACCGGTCAGCTGCATGCAGAACCCGTACCTGCCCACTCTCCAGTCTCTGCAGCTCCACCCGGAGTTGTGTATGTGTTGTGTGTGTGTGTGTGTGTGTGTGTGTGTGCACTCAGTGGTACTCCAGGCCCACTCCTGACTCTGTGCTCAGGGATCTCTCCTAGCATTGCTCAGGGGACCCCACGAGATGCCCAGGACGGCACCCAGGTTGCTTGCACGTCAGGCAGGCGCTCTGATGTTTTGAGGCGGGGTCGCCCTCCACCGGGGTCCCCCGCCGACCCACCTGCACGGAGGTGAGGCTGAAGGTGATGACGAGCTGCGAGGTGGGGCTGATGAAGGGCGGAGGCGTGACGGAGCGCTTGCCGCGCTCGAAGATGCGGTAGATGCGGTTGGTCTTGGTGAGCAGCGCCGAGTAGCTCAGCGCTGTGCCCAGGCCCAGCAGCACGCGGCGCGCGGCGCAGACGGCCATCCCCGGCTCGGCCACCATCAGGAAGGTCAGCGCGTACACCAGGAAGATGCCAGCCAGCAGCACGTAGCTGAGCTCGCGGCCCGACGCGCGCACGATGGGGGTCTCGTGGTGGCGCACGAAGGTGACCAGCACGGCCGTGGTGGCCAGGATGCCCAGCACGGCCAGGAGCAGCGGCAGCGCCGCCCAGGGTGAGGCCCAGCTCAGGCGCACCACGGGCGTGGGCCGGCAGCCTGTGTGGTTGGCGCTGGGCCGCAGGTGGCCCGGGCACGCCTGGCACGTGAACTCGTCCAGTTGGTAGAGGTAGCCGTCGCACGCCTCGCAGTGCCAGCAGCAGGGCACGCCCTTCACCATCTTCTTGCGGGCGCCCGCCGGGCACGGGAGGCTGCAGAGCGATGTAGGCACTGCCTGGCGCTGCCCGGCCCACTGCAGCGCCTCCACCTGTGCCCGGGACATGGCGTGCCTGTTGCTTCTGCCACCGTCACCCACTCCCCACAGCCCACCCACTGACCCACACTCACGTCCAGCCGCAGCACCTCTGCCCACTGGCCCACGGCCTGGTACCCGCCGCTGCCCGCGCTCCCGTTGGTGGCCTGGTACTGGAAGATGTCATAGCGCCCCGGGGCGTCTCCATTCTCATTGAACATCACGGGGGTCCCTGCGCTGCCTGCGAGAGAACCCCACGCCCCATCGGATGATTCTCAGAGTAACGTCTCCGAGGGCGCCAAGACCCAGTCAGAGGGGGACCACCCTTGGTGGACACTCAATCAAAAGGAACCAATGCCAGTGTCATCAGGGAAAGGCACACAGGCAACCTAAGGACACTGAGTCCCGCCCAGAAGGATGGCCATGGTCCTCGAAGTGGAAAGGAATGTGTAGGGAGGGGAGCATGAGATGGGGTGGGGGGACCCTGGATTCCATACAACCCGGCAATGCCACTTCCTGGAAACTAGCCCCAGATCCTGTAAACAGTGTTTCCAAAAGAGATCTTCCCTTCTATGTTCATTCATAATAGCCAAGACTTGGAAACAATCCAAATGTCTAAGAACAGATAACCAGATAAAGAAACAATGGTCAGGGTCAGTGAAATAGTATAGCCAGGAAGGCGCTTGCCTTGCACACGGCCAACAGGGGTTCAATCCCTGGCATCCCATGTGTCCCCTGAGCACTGCCAGGAGTAATTCCTGAGTGTACAGTCAGGAGAAACCCCTGAGCACAGTTAGGTGTGGCCCAAAAACAGAAAGGAAGAAAGGAAGAAAGGAAGGAAGAAAGAAAGAAAGAGAGAGAGAGAAAGAAGGAAGGAAGGAAAAAAGAAATAAGGAAAGAAAGAAAGAAATAAGGAAAGAAGAAAAGAGAAAGAAAGAGAAAGAGAGAAAGAGAGAGAGAGAGAGAGAGAGAGAGATGATGGGGGGGGGCGAGAGAAACCAGCACCCAACCCAACAGAGCCACAGCAGATAAAAAACTCCAGAACCAAATCACCAGCAAGCCAATCTCCATATACTTGGAACAAGCCTCACACAGGAGAGTGAATCCGCTGAAAACCCAGGTATGTGGGATTTGTGACCGAAATCTCCAAGCTTTTATGGAACCAGGAACGGGCGAACTTCCCCCACCTCTCTGTTCTTCCAGGAGCCTGGCAGTCACACCTACAAACTGCCTCCAGTGTTACATAAGCTCATTAATGGCCATGACCCCAAGACTCACAAATAAATCTCAGAAGAGAGTCACAAGCTGTAGAGATGCCTCCAGACCCCAAAGTCACAGTTAAAATTTTAACTCCAACTGTATCACCCTATTCAAAACTTTAGAATTTCTGGGGCATGGGGCAGCATTCATGGCCACGTGATAACTCATTCTCTAAACCACTGATGTAGCAAAAATAACACACCACATTTGATGGAGTGTAAAGCAGAAGGCAACCAATCTCAATCAAAATACAATATTAGTACACAAGGCTCATGTTAGTTGTAAACATGTTAGTAATCTATTATACAAGAGCTTAATGTCTCCAGGGTGAGATACAACAATCTTCACACACTTTCGTCTAAGAAAACTTTTTGGAATCATGTTTAGCAGATTATTCATAACAAGCAATACAAAATAAATTACTTAGCATCTGTCTTTGAGGCAGGCTTGGGTGGTGGTGGTGGGAAAACTCAAAAAATGATTGTGGAAAGGTTTAATGGTGGTGGGATTGGCGTTGGAATATTGAATGTAATAAATTATTGTGAACAATTATAAAAATAAAAATAAATTAAATAAAGGTGAGGGTACATGTAGACAGCAGACTACTACTTGGCTGTCGGAAAAAATGAGATCATGCAATTTGTTGCTAGGTGGATGGATGGAGAGTATCATGTTGAGTGAAGTCTGTCAGAAGAGGGAGACAGAATGATCTCACATATCCGGGATATAAAGAAGCACGGTAGGAGACGACAAATGGTATGTGTTATTCCCCTACTATTGAAACGGCTCCCGAAAGTCAGTCTACAGATCTGAGTTTGCTGAGAAGCTGAGGGGGTATGAGACATGGGAACACTGATGAGTGTGGTGTGTGGGGGAAGTGAGGCTGGAACAATGCATCCGATACTCCAAAAACATTAACAGACACCAGTGAGACACCAATGTTAGTGTCTCAATAAAAACAAAACATGAGGACTCGAGCCATGGTACTGTAGGGGTAGAGTGGCCAAACCTTGCATGTGGCCAAACCAGGTTTGATCCCTGACACTCCGTACAGTCCCTTGAAGTCTACCAGGAGTAATTCCTGAGTACAGAGCCAGAAGTAAGCCGCAATCATTGCTGAGCGTGGCCCCAAAACAAAACAAAAACTAAACATGAGGTAAAGGTAAGGTAAAGGCCCTCCCATTGATCGTCGATTTGCTCGAGCGGGCCCAGTAACGTCTCCATTGGAGACTTTGTTGTTACTGTGTCTGGCATATCGAATACTCTCAGTAGCTTGCCGGGCTCTCCGAGAGGGGCGGAGGAATCGAGCTCGGGTCGGCCATGTTGGCTGCGTGCAAGGCAAACACCCTACCCGCTGTGCTATCGCTCCAGCCCAAACATGAAATGCAGTTAAATTAAGACATTTTCCCTCTAGGGGCTGGAGTGATAGCGCAGCAGAGAGGACGCTTGCCTTGCTCGCTGCTGGCCTGGGTTCAATCCCCGGCAACCCATAGGGTCTCCCAAGCACTGCTAGGAGAGATTCTTGAGTGCAGAGCCAGGAGTAACCCCTGAGCATCACTAGGTGTGTCCCAACAAAAAACAAAACAAAACAAACTTTTCCCTTTTTCTTATTTCTCAAAACTGGTTTCTAACAGGTTAGTCTCTTGCTCTCGAGCCCAGCCCCCAGCCACTGTAAGTCCCTCACTTTCCCTCCCGAGCCCCCGAAATTCCCTGAGAACTCTATCTCCCCTCACCGTTGAAGCGGACGGCGCGGATATACTGCAGTAGAGTCCGCCCATCCGTGGGCTCCATGGCTGGACAAAGCCCCTCGAGGCCGGGACACAGCACCTGGTGCATGTTATGCAGCGCGTGGGCGATGGCATACACAGCGTCGATGACAAACTGCACCTTCCCCTCCTGCTCGTAGCTGGAGTCCCGGCCAATGCGTTCCTCACCTGCCCTACGCACACCAGGGGAAGTGCCCTGATTCTCCACTCCCCCGCCACACACACACATGCACTCACACACGTGTGCACACAGACACATGCATGCACCAACATGCGTGCACCACTCACATACTCATGCACATGCACATGCTGACTCATGCACATACACTTGCGCACACATGCAAACAATACAGCCCTCACACATACACACCTGCACACACATATATTCACACTCCTACATTCACTCATGCACATACATATACTCATGCATGCACATGCAAACGCATACATTCACGCACACATACATACACACATGCACATACATATACACACATGCACATATAATCTCACTCATACATCACTCATGCACACACATACACTCAGGCACACACATGTACACATACAATCATGGGTGTACACTAACATACACACATTCACTCATGCACACACATACACTCATGCACATACACTCATACACATGCACACAATACATTCACATACATGCACTCTTACATTCACGTAACACATTCACTTGCACATGCACATGGAAACACTCATGCACACATACATACACTCACACAAACTCATGCACACATATACACTCATGTGCATACATGCACACTGCACAGGCACATATATTCATGCACACACATACATTTATGCACATGCACACAATACATGCACACACATACATGCAGACATACATACACTCATGCATACACTCACACACATACATACACTCACACGCATGTGCAAACAGTTATGCACACATACTCATGCATACACATACACATATACTCACACATACATATACTTATGCATACACTCACACACATACATACATATGAAAACTCATATACTCATGCACACATACATACATACAATCATGCACATGCACAACTCACACAAATACATGCACACACTTGCACACAGGGACACACACATGCACACAGGTTGTCTTGTGCCTGCTGGGTCCCCCAGCACCCCAGCTGCTCTCACCTGTACACTTGCGGGTGGAATCATCTGGCTGGGTGTGTGAGCCGGTGAGTTTGCAGTTAAAATTCTCTTCCCAGAACTCAGCAAACCAGATATTTCGACGATTGTTCTCCAGGGAACGGGTCGTAAAGTAATGGTCAAATCCTGAGGGAGGGAGGGAGGTAGGAAGGACTTTTTTGTACACTGAGCCTCTCCCTAAACCCCTTTAATCCTGGCCCATGCTCAAGGAGTACATCTTTAACTGCATGAGGGCTGGTTTCCATCCCCAGTCCCATAAAGCGTCCTCCACAAAATCACTGGTGTGACCCCCACAACTAACCACCAGCACCAGCACCAAAAGCCATCTGGGGGCTCCAGGGCAAAATTACTTTGAGATGCAAACTTGAGCCTCACTTCACAAAAGACTTTGGTGCTGTCCCTTGTTTCCTGGTTAGAATGCTGCGGTGATGATGAAATGGGCAGAGCTGCAGCAGCCTCTTTGTGATACCCTGTGGTTGTGTTCCAGAATAGAGAAATCCAGAAACCACCCACAAAGCATAGCAGGACCAGGGAGAATCAGGAAGCAACAGTCAGGGATTTAGAGAATATCACCAAGTCGTGGTCCGGAACCGGAGTTACTTGCAGGCTTGACCTTCCCTCTTGCCAGAACATTGGTGAACTTGCTTTATGACTCAAACCACACTCCATCTAGTCGATTCATTTCAATAGAATACATTTCCAGTGGACAGTGGTGGGAGACAGCATCGGGATCAGGGGTGTATAGGGACCAGGGGTGTATGATGAGCAAGCATGGAACACTTACTTGATTCCCAGCACCACTTTCTCCCTGACAAGCACCCTAGGTCCAAGTAGTGCCACACACTCAGCCACCAGCACTGAAACATCAGGTTCCAATGCAGGTCCCATTGTGTTTCTTGGCTTCCCTGAGCTAAACCTGGGCATCCACCCCACCTCTAACAAAAAAGAATATGGAGGTGTGCCAGTCTGTGTGAGATTGTCTTCATTTGCATCTCATTGTTTTGATTTGCATCACCCTGATAATTAGTATTGTAGAGCAGAAACGCCATCTAAGTTCATTGCAGCACTATTTACAATAGCCATAATCTGGAAACAACCCAACTGTCCAAACAGACAGCTGGATAAAGAAACTATGGTACATCTATGCAATGGAATACTATGCAGCCACCAGGAAAACTGAAGTTGTGAAATTTGCTTATAATTGGATGGACATGGAGAATATCATGCTGAATGAAATGAGCCAGGAGAGGGACATAGTATGAACTCACTCAGTTGTGGGATATGAAAAACACAGTATGAGACTATTACCCAAGGACAGTAGGAAGGAGGGCCAGGAGGACTGGCCCACTGGAAGCCAAGAGTTGGGGGTCGGGAAGTGCAGGTAAGATAGAGAAGGGAGGGGCTGGAGCAATAGCACAGTGGGTAGGGCATTTTCCTTGCACGCAGCCGACCCGGGTTCAATTCCCAGCATCCCATTTGGTCCCCTGAGCACTGCCAGGGGTAATTCCTGAGTGTAGAGTCAGAAGTAACCCCTGAGCATCGCTGGGTGTGACCCAAAAAGGAAAAAAAATAGAGAAGGGAGTACTCTGACAATGGGATTTGGGAATGATCACTCTGGGCAAGAACTGAGTGCAGGAAGTCGGTAAAGGGATATATATGATAACCTCAGTACTGGTACTGCAAACCATAATGCCCAAAAGGAGAGACAGAGAGACACAGAGACAGAGACAGGGAAGCAAAGTGCCTACCGTGGACTTCAGACTGGGGTGGCAGGAGGGGAAACTGGGGACATTGGTGGTGGGAAATGTGCACTGGTGGAGAAACTGGTGATGGAACACTGTTTTTTTTTTTCTTTTTGGGTCACACCCAGCGATGCTCAGGAGTTCCTCCTGGCTCATGCACTCAGGAATTACTCCTGGCGGTGCTCAGGGGACCACATGCGATGCTGGGAATCAAATTCAGGCTGGCCGCATGCAAGGCAAACGCCCTATCTGCTGTGCTATCACTCCAGTCCCTGTATGACTAAAACCTAATCAAGAACAGCTTTGTAACTGTGTAGCTCATGGTGATTTAATTAAAACAAAACAATAGAATACGGTGGGGGCCAAGACCTGGGTAGTTGGAACTCTGCCCCTCCAAGGAGATGTGCTTTAGAAAAAGCTCTCACCAAGGGGTTTTCAGGTCCCCTTGGGGGACAACAAGGATGCAGGTGTAGAGGACTTATCTCTGCTGCAACTGGATTCTCCCTGGGGCACATCCAGGTGGCAGTGAAGGTGAGACAAAGGGCAGATAAGGCTGGGTCTAACTGATCCTCTCCCCAACCCCACGCTCCAGCCAGAGTTTCTCCACCTTTGGCAGAAATACAGACATTGAACAATAAGATAAAACAATGATCAGAGAAATAGGACAGCAGAGAGGGTGCTGGCCTTGCATGCGGCCGACTCAGGTCAAATCCCTGGCACACCCTCCTGCCTTGAGCCCTGCTAAGATTGATCCCCGAGCACAGAGTCAGTCATGATACCCTAGCACAGAGCCAGGAGTAAAGGTAAAAAGGTAAAGGCCCTCCCGTTGATCGTCGATTTGCTCGAGCGGGCCCAGTAACGTCTCCATTGGAGACTTTGTTGTTACTGTGTTTGGCATATCGAATACTCTCGGTAGCTTGCCGGGCTCTCCGAGAGGGGCGGAGGAATCGAACTCGGGTCGGCCATGTTGGCCGTTTGTAAGGCGAACGCCCTACCACTGTGCTATCGCTCCAGGAGTGATCCCTGAAAACCACAGTGTGTGACTCAACCCCTATGCCCCCCAAAAAACCCAAATCAATCAAGAGACCATATAAAAGGCTGCATCTGTCCTCTGTGGAGGGGAGACAGAGACAGAAAGAGTCGGAGAATCAGAAAGTCATGGGATCGCAGAGTCCTAGATTCTGGGATAAGGGAAAGACATGGGTCGAAGCAGGATTTTACAGGATCACAGGTTTTTACAGGTTGCAGGGTTCACGGGACCACATGAGATGCCAAGGATCAAACCAAGGATTTTACAGAAAGGTCCCCCAAATGGGGGCATGGGGGTCCACGCTGGAACCTACCATCAATGGAGGCCCTTTTGGGCAGGACGGTGATGGCCCCCTGGGCCACGTCCTCCAGGTGCAGGATGGGGGCAGTTTTGGCTCCCCAGCTGTCTGAGCCAACCCACAGGAAGTGGTTGGTGAGGTTGGCCTGGCGAGCAGCTTCCAGAACCCTCCTGGGACGAACAAGGGAGTGTGACTCAGAACCCAGGACCTTCCTCCAAGGCACCCCCCAGAGTGGTCATGTGTTTCTGCCCCCCCTCCCATCACTCACCTTCCCCTGTGGGTGAGGGGGAAAGGGAGGAGGAGCAGCAGGAGGAGGAGGACGAAGGAAGAAAAAGAAGAGAAGAGGAGGAAGAGGAGGAGGAGGGGGAAAGTCAAGATACCACTTGTTTGAGTCCCCACCAAGAAGTGCTGAAAAGCCAGGGCTGGAGGGACAGGAAAGGGGTGAGGTGCTTCTCGTGTGGTTGACTGGGGTTGATCCCCAGCACCACAGGTGGTCCCCTGAAGCTTCCCAGGCACTTTGAGCAACTCTTGAGTGCTGAGCCAGGACTAAGCATCTCCAGGAGTGACCCCAGAGCACAGATCCGGGAGTCAGCCGTGTCAGGAGTGATCCTGAACAGAGTCAAGAGGAGACGTGATCCACAAATCCCAAAAGCAAAATGAAAATGTCTCAGTGAGCTTTAAGTGAGACGTGAACAAAACAGGAACTGTGGTTCCCACTAAGCTCTGGTCCCTCCTGACTCATCAGGGTCCACAGTCACCTAAGTAAACTGTGGTTTTCCAGGAGGGTTTGCCTGGATTTGATGGCAGAAGGTGGCAGAGGATTGTGGTTAAACCCAGAGCCCAAGTTGGCCATGTGCAAGGCAAAGGCCCTTCCCATTGTACTATAGCTCTGCCCTCCCCATACTGTTTTGACAGCTCTCAATCTGCAAGTTGTGTGTGTGTGGGGGGGGGAGTGTGCCTCAGCCTCCCCTCAGTCCCCTATCCCGGCCCTCAGTCACTGCTGTCAATGGTGAAAGGAACTTTTCTGTTTTTTCCCTTTGGTATGTTTTTGGCCACACCTGGCAGAGTTCAGGGCTTACTCCTGACTCTGTGCTCAGGGATCACACGCGACCACATGAGATGCCAAGGATCGAACCTGGGTCAAGCAAATGCCCTACCCACTGTACTATCACTCCAGTCCCAAGGACTAGCTTTTATTCTTTTTTTTTTTTTTTTGGCTACATGCGACAGTGCCCAGGGATTCCTTCTCACTGTGCTCAGGGATCACTCCCGGCAGGCCTGAAGTCTTCCAGGGGGTACTAGGGACCAAGTACAAGTGAACTGCGAAAGGCAGCACCTTCCTGCTGCCCTAGTTCGCCACTCCCCAGAAGCATCTTTTCATGTGACCTCCAGTTGTGCTCCCAGCATCCACACGCAGATGAGCCTGGCTCATTTCAGGGGCCCACAGCAGCAGGGCACGAGGCCGATTTCGTGCTGGGGAGGGTTGGGAGAGGAGGGGGAGAGAACTCCAAGGGACAGGCTGCTGCGTCATCACCTGATGTCATCCTCGTTGGCAAAGATGATGATGGCGCGGGCATTGGGCGTCTCCAGGAGCCTCCTGATGACCTTGTCAAACTCTCCGGGCTTGGGCTCTCGTGGAATCTTGATGGACTGAGCAATGCAGACACCCCCTGGGCACCGGATGGCCCCAGGAGTCTCAGTCGCACCCGCGCACCCACGGGGCTCCCCCACACCCACCCTCCCCCTCAATCTGCTTGGACCCGGAGCTGTGATCTGTGCTCCAGGCTCAGTCCACCACTGACCAGGTGCTTGAGTGCTCTTCCCTAGGAGAAGAGGCTGTCCGCACCCTGGGGAGCCCTCTCCAGCCCCCAGCACTCCCGGCTCCCTGCCTCGCTCCAGCTCACCAGCCTCCCGGGATATCTGCACAAAAGCCTCCACTCCACTCTCGCCGTAGTTGCCCTCCGAGGCCAGCGTGGACACGTAGTTCCAGCCTAACGCCCGCACGATGTCCACCATGGCCTGAGCTTGGTAGGAGTCGGGCGGAACCACGCGGGAGAAGAAGTCGTAGCGGGTGGAGTCGCTGAGCTCGGGGGCCGTGGAGGCGTAGCTGATCTGGGGGATCTGCACGGCCACGAGACACGGGGCGGTCAGTGACGGGGAGGGGAGGGCCAGCGGACCCTCTAGGATGGCGGGGTCTCTTGAACAGTAGACACCAGGAGATAGGGGGAAAGCTCGCACTTTGCGTTTGGATCCGTCGGGAGACTGACGACCCCAGAAGACAGCCAGCAGCTAACCCACATCCAATCGCTGCAAAGGGGAGGCGGGGCTAAATCGGTCTGCAACCAATCCACAGAGAGTCATTGCCATGGGGGCGGGGCCGAACCCAGCCTCAGCCAATCGGCCTAGTCTGACTCACTGCAAGAGGAGGAGGGTTCAGTCCAGTCTGCAGCCAACACGCAGAACCCGTGCAAAGTGGAGGTTACACGGAGAGCGGGGGTCGGGACCTGGAAGGCGAGGGCACGTGGAGACGTGGTGGAGGGGAGTCGAAGGGAGGGCTGAGTTCTTCATGATCAACAACCAAATATTCTGGGGCCAGCGGGTGGAGAGGGCTCAAAAGACAGTTTATTTTCACTTGGGGGACGGAGTCTGCACCCTAGTAGCATTGGGGATCTCTGCGGTGCGGGGAATGGGGCTCAAACTCGCTCAGGGCTAGGCATGCGCGCCAGCTCCGAAGCCTGAAACTCAGAGCAAAACACGGCAGACCGCGTGCAACTGCAAATGGCAAAGCTGGAGCTCGGACCCTTGGAGCCCTAAGCCGCTCTCTTGGCGCTCGGAGCGGCGGGAAGTGATCTCTAGCCCCGGGAGCTCCGGGGTGGGATGGGGGTCCAGGGAAAGGCAGAGGAGCCCGCTCGGGGGTGGGGAGACGCGCGAGCCGGCCGCGCGACGCTCACCGCGAACAGGCGCAGCACGTTGGCCACCATGATGGACACGGAGCTGGCGGAGGCGCCCACCACGGCCACCACGCGCTCGGGGGGCGCGGCGTGCAGCGGGGGCGCGCCACCGGGGCAGCGGACGGCTGGCTCGTGGGCGTCGCCGCGGCCACTGATCAGCGCCTGCACGAAGCTCAGCGCCTGCTCCAGCGCGTACGTGTCCCGCGAGCAGGTGTCCAGCAAGCGCGCGCCCAGGCGCACGCCGGGCAGCAGCCGCGGGTCGGCGTTGATGCGGTCCAGCGCGTAGAGCATCGCCTCGAGCCGGTGCACGCCCTGCTCCTTCTTGAGCGGCCCGCACGCCCGGCCCGCCGCGCCGCGCGCGTGCACCGGGAACAGCCCCCCGAGCGTCAGGCCCCCAGCCAGGCGCACCGAGCCCGCCGCGCGCGCCGCTGCCGCGCCCGCTGCCCGCGCCAGCGCCAGCGCGCATAACGCGCACAGCAGAGCGCCCGGCAGCGCCCCCGGCGGCCGGCCCCGGAACTGCGCCATCGTCGCCGCAGCTGCGGAGGAGAGACGGACAGCTAGCTAGTCTTGTCGGTGGTCAGGGGTCGTGTTCAGGGGTCGTGCCTGGAACCCCGGGGTGGGGGCCCTGCTCTATCCCAGCATTGCTCCCTGAGCACAGCCGCGTGCGAACAACCCGCAAAAGCACAAAGCAGCAACCTAAAGGTGGGGACAGACCTTGAGATGGAAGCCTGCGCTTGAACCCAGCACTCGGTGGGGCCCAGGTGGGGGATGCCCCCTGCGCAAACTGGGGGTCTCTGGCCGAACCTCCGTCTCAGCTTCTCCAGTCTCACCCTGTCCCCACGCCTCACACTCCACCCAGCCCTGGTCATTCTTGGGATCCATCCCCAGCCCACAGGCAGACCCCCTTACTCACACGCATGAACACCAGCCCTGGCTCCCTCTCCCCCCCCCTCACTCTCTCTCACACACACACACACTAGCCGCGCTCACTCTTACACAAACACCAGCCCTGATCTCCCTTACACACACACACACACACACACACACACACACACACACACCACAACACCACACAGCCCTGGTTTCTCTCCCTGGGACTGTCCTTGGTACACACAGTGGTTCCTCACCTGTGCTGCCTGCTGACCCCGTGGGCTGTAGAAGGACTAGTGGCAGATGCAGTGAGCTGCTGGTATTTAAGGACTCGGGGTGGGGCTGGAGGCATGGCTGAGCCCACTCCATGCTCTCCCCCCTTCCTTCTCTTCCTTCTCCCTCCCACTGTGAGGTGGGTATTCCAGGCTTGACCCTCGCCCCAACAGACTCTTTCGGACTCTCCCTCTCTCTCTGTTTCTCTCTCTCTCTCTCCTCTCTCTCACATACACACATACACACACACTCTGTCCTTCTTGGCAACTTTCCTCTCACACACACACAAACATGAGCATTCTCTCACATGTGCACACCCTTCCTCATACACACAGAAAGACAGATACCCACCCTCACACACAATCATGCATAGTCACACACTCTCATAGGTCCCCTCGCACATGCATGCACATTCATGCACAGGATCACACATACCCAAGCACACAAACACATGCATCCACTCACGTGCCCATGCACTCTCACATTCCCTTGCATATACACACTTTCACATGACCACACACTCACATAATCACAGATCATACACAATCTCACGCTGGCTCGCCCTCTCACACACACATTCACACGGGCTTCCTCCCATCTTCCTCTCTCAGCCCCTCTCTTCCTCCCAGCCCCACTCCATCTCCCTGCCTCTCTTCTCTTTTCCTTCCCTTTCTTTTAAGGTTTTCTCTGCTGGGTTTTGGTGCGTTGAGGGCCTGTGCAGACTCAGGAGGTGGGTAGTTCCCAGAGGTCCTGGGGGCTCCAGCTGCCCACACACACCCCAGTCCACTGAACTCTGCCCCCTCTGCCCTCGTCACCTTGCTTTCTCATAGATTGTTCTGGGCTCTGAAGCAACATCTAACACTCCCCAAGACCTCTCTATTCCTAGCCCCCCCCCCCCCCATCTTGAGACCCAACGCAAGGAACTGGACTTGTTCTGCCATCCTCCGCAGAGAGGTATGATGCTGGGGCCCACGGAAAGGTCTCCTGGGGACAGGCATCAGGGTCTGTCCCAGAGGCTTAGCGAGCTCATCCTCGGAGCCCTGAACTGACTTCAGCCCCATTAAACTGCGGATTAGGGTGACTGCAGGGATTTGGCTAATGCTACAGCCAGAATCTGAAAAACCCTGCATCCCAGTCCTGCACTGCCCCCCAACCCCCCCCTGCTCTTCTCTGAGCTGAACCCTGGCAGAGGGGGGCTTCCAGTTTGGTTTCTGTTACTTTTGAGGGGCATAGGTGTTGGCATGCTCTGAAGACACTCTGGACTTCAGTGCTAAGGAGTCGCTCCTGAATAGGGACTGCCAGGGACCCGCCCCGGGTGAACAGGCCTGAAACAAGGATGCCGCGAGGATTAAGAAAAGAGAAATAAGAGAGAAAAGGCATGGGATCAGGGGCTCACAGCCTTGCGGGCTGAGTGCCCTGACTGTCCTTCAGTGGATAGTACTTATCGTTTAGAAACAGCAATCATTAAAAGTAGTAGCACTGTAGCACTGTCCTCTTGTTGTTCATCCATTTGCTCGAGCAGGCCAAGTAACGTCTCCATTGTGAGACTTGTTACTGTTTGGCATATAGAATACGTCACAGGTAGCTTGCCAGGCTTTGCCTTGCGGGCGAGATACTCTCGGTAGCTTGCCAGGATCTCTGAGAGGCGCAGAGGAATCGAACTTGGGTCGGCCAGGTCAGCCACGTGCAAGGCAAATGCCCTAAAGTAGATGAACAGTATTCTTTGTGCAGGTGCTTAACTGTCTTCATCTGAGTTAGTCTTTTACTTGACCGACTAACCACACTGGTGCTTAGAGATTACTCCTAGCTCTAAACTTAGGAATCACTCCTGGAGGACCCTATGGGATGCCAGGTATTGAACCTGGATTGGCTGCATGCAAGGCAAGTGTCTACCCATTGACTATAGCTCTGGCGCAGGAATGAACATTTTTGTCAAGTGCTTTCTCCAGGATAAAATTTTCCAAGAGATAAAGTTGACACAGGCCCCCACAGGGCAGCTTTCTGAACTGAAAGGTCCCATAAGCTGCCCATCCTGTACAGCTCCTGTACCTGGACCCCAACATCTCCCCCTTCTTGTTTTGCTGATCCACAGACTAGCAGACTCTCTTACATCTCAAAGGGCAGAAGCCTTTAAAGTGAGTGAATTTATTTCAGGTGCAGAAGTCTCTAAAGTGAGTGAATTAATTTTAAAGGAATCTTCACTGAGAGGCAGCAGAGATAAGAGTGTTCCCATCACTGAAGTTTTCTTCCCCAGAATGCCAACTTTCCGACTCTCCATGGAATGAAGGGCCCATAAATCACTCTATCCAGCATCTCTCTACAGGCTGATCTAATTCATCTTTTTTTACCCCATACCCAGCATTGCTCAGGGGGATGATCCTGGCTCTGTGCTCAGGAATCACTACTGGAGGTGCTTAAGGGACCATGTGGGATGCTGGGTCATCGAACCTGGGTCAGCTGCATGCCAGAATTCCTACTCGCGGTACTATCACTACACCCCAGATATTAATCTTTTAAACTAAGCATATCTATTTCCCTAAGTGTGTGCATATCCAGCAGGGGACCAAACTAGGGATCAGTCCTGAGTTCTTCCCTGCCAACGTTTGCTTCTGCCTTTGAACCACGTCCCAGCTGGGATTCTCTCTCTGGTAGTTGGAGCACTTGTTTGACCTGCTACAGCTCAACCAGATCTAAACCAACATGTTGGAGGTGGACAGATACGCAGCTGGACTCAGAGAATCTCCTCAAGGCTCTTTCCGTTTGCACGACAAAAAACAGGTCACAGCAGACACCCCCCCCCCCACACACACACCACCACCACCACCACCAAAAATAAAAGCACTGTTCCAAGTTGTGAGGTCAGAGGAATCTGTCAATTCTTGAGTGTAAGATAGAAGATGGAAGGGAGAGGGGTGGGGGAGGGGTTTGGACCTAGGGGTCTCAGAGGGGAGAGATCAAGGGCTCAAAGCACCTTCCTTGCAAACCAGAGGCCCTGAATTGGACCTTAGCCTCCCCCATGTGACAGCTTCAATGGCTGCAGTTCTGCTGTTTGTGATGTCCAGCCTCCGTTGCCATAACAGTGTACTATCTCCAGAGTACAGGCAGGGGTGTGGTGAATATCTGTGTGACTCTTTGTGTGACAACCAAGTGCGTGTAGACATCCCCTTCCCCAACAAACACTCATACCCCATCACTTTGGAAACAAAGGGAAGAGGAAAAAAGAGAAGTTAGGATCCAGAGAAAAAGGATGGGGGTTGATAAGGTGATTGCCTTGCATGCAAGCTCCCTAAGTTCAACCAGCACTGCATAGAGTCCCTGGATCGCGACCAGGGGTCACTCCTGAGAACATAGCCAGAGATTGCCCCTGAGAACCATCAGGGTTGCTCCTGAGCCCAGATTAAGAGTAAGCTATGAGTACTGTGGCCTCCAGGCCAAAATCGAAAGAAACAAAAGATAAGCAAGGCCTGAAGAGATGGCTCAGTCACTGAGAGCACTTACACTGCATGCAGGAGGCCCTGGGTTCAGTTCTCAGTACTGCAGTACTCTGAGCACCATCATGGTGACTCCTGGAGCATTGAGGTGGGAGTAGTCCTTGAGCACTAATGGCCATGGCCCCAAAAACAAAAAAAAATGGAACAGAAAGAAAAGATGAAAGTATCAGAGACAGGAGAGCATCTGAGTTGGTGCTCTTCTCTTGTGAAGCCCCTAAAGGTGAGCATAAGTCTGTGGTCAGCTAAGACAGGACTCCATAGCAGGGTACCTGCGCAGTCCTTTAATTATTTATTTTTATTTATTTATTTATTTTTGGTAGGGGAGGTGAACTACACCCAGTGATGCTCAGGAGTGACCCCTGGTGGTGCTCCAGGGCTATGCCTGGCGCTGTGCTCAGGACTGACCCCTAGTGGAGCTCCAGGGACCTTGTGCAGTGCTGCTGCTATATGCCAGGCAAGAGGAGCCTGGCTCTCTCTTCCATTCTATGTTCTGGAACACTTCTATTTACTTTCAATTTTTTGGGGGGGCACACCTGGTGGTACTCAGGGATTACTCCTGGTTCTGTGCTCAGAGAGCACTCCTGGTGGTGCTCAGGGGACTATGGGAGGTGCTGGTGATCAAACTTGGCTTGGCTACATCCAAGGCAAGCACCTTTCCCACTGAACTATCTCTCTGGCTCCAGGAACCATTTCTATTTTCTCCAGTACTCCTGCCTTCCACTGTGTTGGGTTACCTTCATTTCTATGCTTTTTTTTTGTTTGTTTTTTTCTCTTTTTTCTCTTTTGCCAAACCAGTGGGACTCCACGCCAGGCTGTTTTCACTTGGGGCACCCCAGAGGGGGCAGGCGAGAGCCCTCCCCCCACAAGGGACCCAGCCCCAGTGGCCAACCT